TAATAAATAAATAAATTCTGTGGTGGAACCTACCGTTTTGCCTTTTTCCGTTTGGGAGTTATTGTATACGAACCTCCTCCATTCGTCTCCTAAACGAGGACTAACCCTGAACCCCATTAGAATGTTCACACCAGCAACTTAAGTGCGAACCGCACGGAAGTAATTAATGAATGCTTCCCCTGGGTGGCCGCCATTTCGTATAAGCGAATGCACGTGGTCGACAAAATAATTGTGAAAATATTGTCTCCCGAACGTGGGCAGTGGCATTTGGTCGTTGAGTGCCTAGAACTCTTTTCAGCTAGGCACCCACACGAACCCCGGTAAAGATTAGACTGCTATCCATTCTACTTTCCGACCAACTTTGTGAACAACGTTCGGGACATGGGAACTACTGAACAGTGGGAGCAATTGTACCCTGAAATTAAGACAATCCCTTGCATGATATTCGCACAGGAACCTCCGAACAGAGACCAGCTGTGGCACCTATTCCCCTGGAACTGTTCTGGGATAGCGCCTCGTGTCCGGCCAGTCAAAACTTTACCTCAATGGCATTCCCGTTTCACCAAACCAATCTAAGTGATATTTGGATATGTTATACACTCAGGTCTGGGCTATCGAGGGATATAACTTTTGTGGGGTTCCTTGTTATGGTGGGGGCACTTTTGAGGCACTGTTTATTTTGTATATATTTGTTGCACCTGATAGATAATTGAATTAAATATTTTTCTCATGCAATTATGCATCAGGCACAAAGGATCCTGTGAATGAAAATCCTGCATTATTGTGTTGGAGACTCCATGTAGGTGTCTGTGCATAAAAGCCGTTTGTGGTCTGAAATAAATCAGTTGACTCCCAGAATTATGTTTTGTCTGGTTACCGGGGGAATGGATATCTGCTTGTTTTAATGGTTCCAAATTGGCTGAGAGAAGGAATTAGCGGAGGTAACCAGTCAGGTTACCCCTGGTCCGCTACAAATTCTTTATAATAGGAATGGAACGAGACACTGAAAAATGGTGCTAAACTGGGCTATTTGGCTATTCAATTTTTTTTATATATATATTTTTTAATTTTGTTTGCTTGGAACTAATTGAGTATTTCAAACTCAATGACATAGGAAAACCAGTAAGTGGGCAGTCCGTAACTATGGCATCACATGGATGTTTAGCATGGAACTAAAAATCTGTTCATGGTCCAACTCATGCAAGCTCATGTCATGTGCTGCCTTGCACTTCTCCAAGGTACATAGTTATAAGATGAATTCAAAAATGAAAATGTAATGTATGGGAGTGGGGGACATATATACATCTGCACACCCGTGCTTGCTTCCCCTCTAGCACATTGCTCTTGTTATTTGACTTTCTTTCTTACCTATATGCAAATAGTTCTATGCTTTTGAACCCACAATTAACATAAATTGATTTATTTAGCTAATTATACTGCAAATCACATGCTACTCACATAAGCAATGCAATTAAAAATCATAACATTGATAACACTAAGCAGCAGTATATACTATGTGTTGCCTTTGGCAGGAGAAAATAATATTATAAACTTTTTTTCGTGTCATGTCTGGCATATAAAATTAATAGCTTAAAAATAACAAAGCAAATTAATTATAAAGAGAGTAGATGCCTAGTCTTGATACTTGGCTTTTATTTCAGGAATTAAAGAGAAACAAGCAATAAAAAGATATTTCTAATGAGAACAGAATGTTGCACTTAAAAGGGCAGTTTTGTCCTGAATATATGGGGTGTATACACAAAAACGGTTGCCTCTGCTTTCATTTTTGTGCCAGTTTTGTGCTAATGTTTCATTTTCTTATGTTGTTACTCCACTTTCATACACTGTAGATATTTTGTTTTCATCATCATTTTTTTTTTTTTTGCAATGTATAAAAATAATCATCGTTTCCTTGTTTTCTCATTCCTGTTTCAAAATGTTTTACACTTTTTCTGATATTTTTAACATAAATTAGTCACAAAATACAAGAAATTATAATATTGATAGTAATCAAAACATGCATTTATATAAAAAAAAGATACATTTACAGTCTGATGGATATTCTTTTGCCCTTAAACGAGAAAGGATCATTGAGAAAGTTGCTTACCTATCACAGAAAACCACCACTCACAAACTCACCAACACTCACTCATGCACAAATTGTTTTTAAAAAAAAGTTATTTTACCCCGAGCGGGCTCCGCACATGGCTGGTCCTTGATGGGTTTATCTTTTAATTTCAGAGGAAAGGCAGTGTTTACATTGCCCCTAGGGACCACTCCTCAGATGGCCACTGGAGGGGCTTCCTGGCTCAGGGCTGCACAGTAAGCAGCCCTGCCGTTCAGCGTCCCCATGCTCTGCATGGAGACGCTGAATTTACCTTGCAGAGATGCATTGATTCAATGCATCTCAATGAGGAGTTGCTGATTGGCCAATATGGCATTTGACCCCGCCCCCTTGCCGATTTTAGCCAATCCAATGCTTTCCCCATGGGGCTGGGGCCAGCATCGGTGAACCCGTGGAGAGCTGGAAATAAGGTGAGTTTTAACCCATTCTGAAGGGACAAGCCACCTAAATGGTGGGATTTCACTATACGGACAGGAATACATGTTTGTGTTCCAGACCCTATAGTAATCTTCAAAATTATATTTGCAATTAAAATGCGTGACACTAAAGCAATGACAAAGCATTCTCAGTTCTGAAAAAATATAATATTTTACTCATAACTACAAAGTTTCTCTCAAAAACTTACTTTTTATCACTGGTTACATTTAATTATAAAATTTGATAAACTGTATCATATCTTAGCAGCACCACCATTAACAAACTTGATATGTATGTTTTTCAATTGTGTTTTCTTATTTGTTACAGTTTAGTTTGTGTCGCCTTCCAAATAACTTGCAGGACGCTGAGTTCTGGTTCACAAAGATTACATCAAAACATTTTTTTCATTTTTCTGATAAAGCATTGAAATCTCCTCAGACTAACTCATAATAGGGTTTTATTGAATTACATCTCATAGAACTTGTATAGAAAAAAAAAAATATTTGTAGCACAAATTCAAATGTGTTATCTCCGTCTCTGGCGTAGTCTGGTTTTTATCACGCACAGTATCTTCTGTTAAATCCCCTGCATTTTGATTGGAACATAAATCTTTAAGCAAAAGCAATATCATAACAAATTCAATAACTCGTAAAGCTTGAAATAAACATTTGACATGAACTTTTAATTATGGTTATAGCGTGAATATAATATGTTGGTAAAATAAGGCCAATTAGAAATACATTTAGGCCAGTTTAAATTAAAAAAACACTTCAAGCACCATCACAACTGTAAAGTAATGTAATGGTTATGGTACCAGGAGGGCCCTGCTGCTCTCCATTGTAAGGATTCAAACTGTTTTAGAATGGTTCGACTTCTTACCAGGCGTGTGCCAGACCCCCTCCCCACCTCTATTACTACTCAGTAAGAGCCAGAAGCTCTCTTCAGTTAGCTAAGTTTGGTGGAGGAGGACTTAAAGGACCACTATAGTGCCAGGAAAACATACTCGTTTTCCTGGCACTATAGTGCCCTGAGGGTGCCCCCACCCTCAGGGACCCCCTCCCGCCCGGCTCTGGAAGGGGAAAGGGGTAAAAACTTACCTTTTTCCAGCGCTGGGCGGAGAGCTCTCCTCCTTCTCTCCTCCTCCGTTCCTCCTCCTGGGCTGAATGTGCACGCGCGGCAAGAGCTGCGCGCACATTCAGCCCGTCGCATAGGAAAGCATTTACAATGCTTTCCTATGGACGCTTGCGTGCTCTCACTGTAAAAATCACAGTGAGAAGCACGCAAGCGCCTCTAGTGGCTGTCAATGAGACAGCCACTAGAGGCTTTGGGGGAAGGCTTAACCCATTCATAATTATAGCAGTTTCTCTGAAACTGCTATAATTATGAAAAAATGGGTTAACCCTAGAAGGACCTGGCACCTAGACCACTTCATTAAGCTGAAGTGGTCTGGGTGCCTAGAGTGGTCCTTTAACCTGCTGTCTAAAAATTATCAGCTGACACTATTGGCCAATATGCTAGCCACGTGCTGCAGGGCTTAGCTCAAGAAAACTCTTGAGCACTACTGGAGACAGAGAGCGGTCATGGTGGACTCCACGTTAAAAACATTCTAAAATACGCTGTTGTGTTTGTGGTGCTATGATTGCTCCTTTAGCACATTCCTACTGAAACAAGCTTACTAAAGACAGTAAAGCACTCTGTCTGAGTCAGTTTTTTGGTTTAGTGTTTAGATCGCATTTATTCAAGAAGTGATCCATTTACTAAACATTACTTAGTAAGATGTGGTGGCATTTCAGTCCTGTGACCCTACGTCTCAGGTATTTAGCTATAGGCAGTGGACCAATCTATAATGTATCACCCCCATAAACTAATAAATATTTATACCATTTGTGGTCTATAATCATGTCAATATGCAGTGGAAGATCTGAGCACCTTTCAACCTATCTCTGTTTGATTCTACTTGCAGCCCTGGCTGGATATGAGAGAACTGCATTTTGGTGTACTGCATTATTTTGCGCCCCTTCATCATTGACTATGATCTTCTCTCACAGCTAGTAAATTCAACAAGCAAGAAGAAGCTGTGTAGGAGCAAGCGTTTGCATCTAAATTAGCCTCTTTGCTTCTAATTTCCAATATTGTGTCATATGTCATGAGGAGGAGTGAGAAATTGAATGCTGTGTTTAGAATAGTGGAGTACTATACTGTACTGAGAGCGCTCCTTCTTCATCACTGCTCTGAACCACACTAGCCCACTGGGGCACGTCTGGTGAGTCGCCTGAGTCAGGAACGGTAAGATCAAATAGTTTAAAGTTTTTATTTTTGGTTAAAGGACCACTCTAGGCACCCAGACCACTTCAGCTTAATGAAGTGGTCTGGGTGCCAGGTCCAGCTAGGGTTAACCCATTTTTTAATAAACATAGCAGTTTCAGAGAAACTGCGATTAATAGGTTAAGCCTTCCCCCTAATCCTCTAGCAGCTGTCTCATTGACAGCCACTAGAGGCGCTTGCGTGCTTCTCACTGTGATTTTCACAGTGAGAGCACGCAAGCGTCCATAGGAAAGCATTGTAAATGCTTTCCTATGCGACCGGCTGAATGCGCGCGCAGCTCTTGCCGCGCGTGCGCATTCAGCCCAGGAGGAGGAGAAGAGGAGGATCGGAGGAGGAGAGCTCTCCGCCCAGCGCTGGAAAAAGGTAAGTTTAAACCCCTTTCCCCTTTCCAGAGCCGGGCGGGAGGGGGTCCCTGAGGGTGGGGGCACCCTCAGGGCACTATAGTGCCAATGAAAACGAGTATGTTTTCCTGGCACTATAGTGGTCCTTTAAGGAAGCAGAAATCTTGCTCCTTCTGGTCTAGAGTATAATTTCTCTTTCCCATGTGGTTAAGGGCCCAGGCTAAAAACACAATGTAAATTTGGGAAGGGATTTGGAATAATTTTTACCTAATGATTTTTTTGAATTTTTTTTTTTTTTTTGGTAAGTGTGACGAAATGCCTTTCGTCACTAGAATTTTAGTTGACAAGTTGTCATTTGCCCCTGGCTGTTGGAGGAGCCTGAGTGCCATCCTCCTGCCTCATGACTACGGCCCTGGGTTGTATGGCACTTTACAAACCTTATTTGTGCTAATGGATTTATATTGTGCTGCTGGCCCTTTAAGACTTGCCTTGTGGGTTATGGGACTGGTGTTGGCCCTTTAAGCACCATTTTGGGGCATAGCGAAAATTGGGACACTGCTCCTTTAAGACGGTGTCCCCAGACTTGTTTGGGACACTGCCCCTTTAAGACAGTGTCCCCAATGTTCCCAGACCTGGTTAAAACCCTTTGTGCCTGGCTACTTCCCACTTGGTTCAGTAAATGGGGCTTACTGAACCAAGTGCCACACAGGCGGACCACCTGTATTGGGAGTGTGTCTGCAATTTACCTCCCAGAAGCTGCGGTTAACCGCAGCTTAATTGACAATGCTGGGAGGTCTTTGTTCGTTTGCCGAACACGTGGCGGCGGCCATCTTTGATCATTCGCACGAGGTCAGCGGTATGTGTAGCCAAATTCATGGAACTAAAATCGGCTACACATTTCCGCGAATACCGCTGAGCTCTACCTTCTCCCATACTGATTTTACAGCCGCAGAGACAAAGTCCCATTTGGCAATGGGACTTAGTCGTTTTTTTCAGCCTGATTTCAGCTGCAGAGATTAAGTCCCAATCGGCGATGGGACTTAGTCGTTTTTTCTTCTCAAAATAGACCGGCCGCACAGCCCAAATCTATGGAACTGTTTTGGGCATGAAAATGTGCTTGCAGTCGGTCATAAAGGGACCTCCAGCTAACTTTTTAACCCCTGGATGGAATTGTCTGATTTTTGGTTATGTTTATATTTAAAGTGTGCTGATTAATACTATGTAAGCTTTATTAATATTGGATGTATAGTTTTGGAGTTATGAAAGTTGGGTAAAAAGTGTGTTTTAAAATGTATGGATAATTGGGTTACCTCTCAGGCTAAGGGGAGGAGATGTGTGGGATGTAACCATTGTGTGATTGGGTAATGTATAATTGGCTGTGGGCATCTCCCTTGCAGGGGAGAATTGCATAAAAGCAGAGTATGTGCCATTAAAAGATGAGATCATCTTGTACCTTCATGCAGTTTCGGCTCATGTTTGGGGGATTGGAGAAACTACACTTTGGGGATTGCTATAATCACTATACTCCCCAGGGTATAATCACTAAGCTCTGCTAAGAGCGGTTCCTGTTCCTGCTCTCTGGAATTTGGAGAGGTCAACCTACTGGAAGCTGGACCCTGGTCTTGGGTCCAGAGTGGGTGGAGACGGCGAGACCCTAACCAAGCTGCGGTGGTTCGTGGGGTCTGCAGTGGTTATGGTGTCAGGCAGAGTGCTTGGAGTCCTCGAAAAAGCACTAGGAGCATCCGTCGGCGGAAGGTACCCGGTCGGGGTGCCAACGGTTCCGTTACAGTAAGGCTTTGCTAACCCTCCCTCCAAAAATTAAAATCTAGAACTACCCATGGCTATAGGTTGGAAATGCCGCATGGAAACATAAGACCTCGTACACTCAAACTCCTGGGAGTGCCAACCCAATAGTAGCTTCCTTTTGGTGAAATGTTTTTTTTATTGATGAATTTCTAACACATATTTATTTGTTGTAGATGAGGCTCTGTGCCAATTACACTTGGCCAGCCTTTTCTCATATACATATATACAATATTAGTAAACTTATGACGTCATTCCCATGTTCTGTTTTTACACTCAATATCAACCATTCAGGCACTAAAACAGCTTCATCTAAATTAGGAGAACCCCGGAGGAACCCTTATCTCAAGGGGTTAAACCACTCTTGAACAGTTTAACCCCAAAGTTGCCTCCAGCTGCAATGTCCACTCCTCCCCATTCGGCATCTGGCTTCTGAAATTTCACTTTCAGGATTGCCGCCGGGCAGGGGTGCTGCTTATTGGCTGAGAGTGGTCAGCTGACACGGTCAGCCAATTAGTGATTACCATTCCCCAAACTGGCTTGAAAAGAAACGTACCTTTTCCGAGCAAGTTTTGGGCATGGGGAGACACTGATGATTAGCTGAGAAGCTAACAGATCCTAAATCCCAAACAACATGCCCAACAGAGGGACCTTCTATGCAGTAATAACTAACCCATCACTCATGGGGGTACCGTCCTGCTAGAGACCGAAGGATGCTTTACTTAAAATGGCTGTGATAGAATCTTCATGACAAGCAATTTTTGCTGTTTTGAAATTCCAATATAATCAAAAAATATGTAGGGACAACTTTATCTAATGTAATTGTCAATCTTTCCATTTCCCATCCGTTGTCTGTTGCACCTCCACACAAGCTGACATGTCACCTTGTGAGGCCTAAAAAATACAAAGATTCCACGAAGGACAGTACAACTTTAACTGATAAATTCTAAATTGATCTACTTACTACATTTAGCAATACATATAGAGCTCATTAATTGCATGTGTTGTCCTGAAAAGTTGACTATTGAGGATAAGATTTGAACAACAATGTCCTACAAGGCATTTCTGCCAATTTTCTTTGCTATAAAACTAATGTTCATTCTAATATTCATTCCGCTTAAACACTGCAATCAACCCAAGTATCGCTATGAAAATCCCTGAGAGACAGATACTCATCTTTCTGCGTTTAGAGTCTTGGTATTACTTCTATCTCTTGCTCTATTTTTTTTTTCTGAAGCGCTTTATAAGTGATTTGGATGTAGTTTCTGAAAGGATTGCAGCTTGAAGAGAACATGCTCAGTACATCTATTTTTTTTCAGCATTAAAAGGATTTTTGTAACAAAGAACACGTTTCAATGGTTACACAGTAAATTCATGTAAAAGTAGGAAAAACAAATTACTGATTAAAAAAACTGATTAAAAACACTCTCACAAAATCTGGAACATAGTATTGCTGGTTGCTGCTTTATGTAATTCCCCCCAAAAAGTGGATTTTTTTTGTGTCACATTGTGTATATTATGAAACTGTGTGTATGTATATCTGTTACACATCTATAGTCCCAAGAACTCAGATAATCGCAACATATACTCTAAATGTGTATATATTTTATATTGATTATTGTATTGATGGTGCCACTTGGTGACAGTGTTATTAAGAGGACACTCCAGTCAAATTAATGGTTGACTCTGCCACTCTGCGTTATTTTAAAATGTTGCGAATTGAAGAGAAAATAAAAAATAGTTACCAACATATTTTAGATAACTTCTCTCTGAATAAATAGTGATTGACTAACTTGAATGTTCATCATAAGGTATAGAGCCCTTTGCCATCAAGCCAACAATGGCCTTGATTTAATAGATTTTCCAAATTATTCAGTAAAGTTTGAAAAATTTTCTATTTTATTTGGATGTTTCTATTCTATTTTATTTGGATGTTCAGTCAAAAAAAAATGTACACTCAATAAAACCAAATTAGCTATGACCACAGTTTCCTTCACGTTATCTCAGGTGTTTGGAAAGTTACAAACTTCCTTTTCTTCATTTCACCTGGGATCCGAAGACTACAAATCTACGCAACGTGCATAAGCACTCACTGTCATGTTTGTGTGTCATGGGACATAGGCCTATAGTGCCAGGAAAACAAAGCCGTTTTCAAGGCACTAAAGGTTTAATAGGTCCCTCCCCCCCCCTTCCTCTCGTTCCCCCCTCAAAATCCCTTCAGCCACTTACCTGAATCCAGCGCTGACGTCCCTCTGTGCTGATCATGTTCCGCCTATGTTCCTCCCCCGCCAGCTGACGTCAATGGCCACGCGCGCATTAGACCTCCCCATAGGAAAGCATCCAATGCTTTCCTATGGGAAAAATCTGACATGGAGCTTCTCATCCAGAGCGTGAGGATGTCCAGTGTCCGATAATGGACCAAAGGTCCGTTTGGATTGCAGAAGTTAGACAGCCTGGTAGACAGCCACAGAGGGCAGACTTAGAGCTGCAATGTAAACATTGCAGTTCTCTGGAACTGCAATGTTTTACATTGCAGGACTAAGTGCAACAGGGACACAGCACCCAGACAACTTCAATTAGCTGAAGTGGTCTGGGTGCCTACAGTGTCCTTTTAATGTATTTGGATAAGCTTTGTAAATGGTTCAAATCTGTGAAAACTTTCCAAATCTGTTAGAAAAACTTTTCAAAATTATTTATTTTTATATATCATTAAATGCTAAGGAATCTTCTCATATCTTAAAGGTACACTATATTCACCCATGCCATTTAATCTCATTGATGCGAGCTGTGCGTGCGCATGAGTCCCCTGTAGGATGACGTCAGAGGAGACCTAGCGCCATCCCAGCACCGAGGGAGATCACTGCTGGAATCGAGTAAGTGTTAAAAAGATTAACTATTTCTGTGCCGGTGAGTGGGGGTGTGATGGAGGAGGACAGAATCAGCTGTAGTGTAAGGAATAAAACTTAGTATTCCTTACACTATAGAAGCCCTTTAAACACAAAGCTACATGCTAGGGCATTGTGGAATCTAGCATATTTAATTTATATATGGGTGGGTGTGTATGAATTCTGTTGGAAAATTGCAATGAGCCCGCTGTTCCCAAATAAAGTCTCTTTTTTTTAGAAAACCTCTGAGTATGCCTGGGCTTCTTGCAATTTTCCAGTAGATCTTTAAGATTTGTCTTCCCCTCTTGAGCAAACCTGTAGTAATACTCATACTCCCTAATGTGTGTGCCTTCTTCACAACTTGTATATGAATTCAACTG